AGGAGAGGAAAAAGGAAAGGAAAGGGAAAAGGGAAGGAGAGGGAAGGAAGGAGAAGGAAGGAGAAAGGAAAGAGAAGGGAGAAGGAAGAAGGGAGAGAGGAGGAAATCCATCCATTGCTTGCATCCAGCTTGGCTGAAGGGAGCTCTGAGTTGGTGCTGGGAATGCTGGGGGTGCAATCCCAGCCCTCCTTCCTGCTGGGAGCAGTGGGGGAGGTTGTCTGAGGCCGGGATGTTCCAGGGTGTCCCGGGATGTTCAGGGATGTTCCGGGATGTTCCGGGATGTCCCGGGATGTTCCGGGGTGTTCCAGCCCAGCCAACCATGGCTGTTTGTGTGGCAGCTTCCAGGGCCAAGCTGACCATGCTCAACACCATGTCCAAGATCCGGGGGCAGGTGAAGAACCCGGGATACCCCCAGTCTGAGGGGCTGCTGGGGGAGAGCATGATCCGGTATGGAAAGGAGCTGGGAGAGGATTCCAACTTCGGTGAGTGGCCCATGGGATCGGGGCTGGAGCAGGGGCAGCTCTGGGAGGGTTTGGGGGACCCTTTTGTGGCATCAAAGGGCTGGGGGAGCCTGAAAGGGTCTCTGAAAAGAATCCCTTAAAGGAATCTCTTAAAGAGTCTCTTAAAGGAATCTCTTAAAGGAATCCCTTAAAGGAATCACTTAAAGGAATCTTTTAAAAGAATTCCTTAAAAGAGTCTCTTAAAAGAATCTCTTAAAGAAATCTCTTAAAAGAATCCATTAAAAGAATCCCTTAAAGGAATCCCTTAAAGGAATCTCTTAAAAGAATCCCTTAAAGGAATCTTTTAAAAGAATTCTTTAAAAGAATCTCTTAAAAGAATGCCTGCAAAGAATCCCTTAAAGGAATATCTTAAAGGAATCCCTTCAAAGAATTCCTTCAAAGAATCTCTTAAAAGAATCTCTTAAAGAAATCTCTTAAAAGAATCCCTTAAAGGAATCCCTTAAAGGAATATCTTAAAGGAATCCCTTCAAAGAATTCCTTCAAAGAATCTCTTAAAAGAATCTCTTAAAAGAATCCCTTAAAAGAATCCCTTCAAAGAATTCCTTCAAAGAATATCTTAAAAGAATCTCTTAAAGAAATCTCTTAAAAGAATCCATTAAAAGAATCTCTTAAAGGAATCACTTAAAGGAATCTCTAAAAAGATTTCCTTAAAAGAATCTCTTAAAAGAATATCTTAAAAGAATCTCTTAAAGGAATCCCTTCAAAGAATCTCTTGAAAGAATCCCTTAAAGGAATCTTTTAAAGGAATCTTTTAAAGAAATCTCTTAAAGGAATCCCTTAAGGGAATCTCTCCAAAGAGGTGCAGAGATTTCCAGAGGTTTCCAGGGTGGCAGGGAAGGGGTGGGAGAGTCAAACTGGAAGAGGGCAGGGGTAGGTGGGATATTGGGAAGGAATTCCTGGCTGGGAGGGTGAGGAGGGACTGGGATGGATTTCCCAGAGAAGCTGTGGCTGCCCCAGCCCTG